GTCTACAACTTTTATATCGTAACATCTCTTAAGGCTGTAAGGCGATGGACTCAACCGGCTCGTACACACACGGTATAGGTCTGATCGGAATGATACTTTCTCGATGGCGTTTTTACCATCAACGATGATCCCATATTAATATTACACACAGGCACTGACCACATACATATATATACGAGATAGCGATTGGGATATTTTAGATATTTTGGTTTTGTCGACATTAGTTATTTATGCTTGATGCACGAGCTACTTGTTTGTTCACTCTCGGTTTTTTCTCGGTCGTTCTATCTCTCTCTCTACCTCATTCACATACACACACACACACACACACATGGCACATATTTTAGCTCAAAGAAAATATCACATACGCCGAATACTCTTCACTTAAGCACATATTTTGCAGATTGAACTGCTCCTAAAATACAGATACAAACCATATATCAATTCAATGGAACCATCTCAACCAAAACAACGTATGTCGTTTTCCTCAGAGCATCAGTTCCACGAACTAAACGAGAAAAAACGAATATATATCGCAATTTCAAAAATCGAAATTGTGCCAATATATGCGAAATACACCGCACATTTCTAGTGTCTCATGGCAAGATACATGAACAAGTGGTATAAAGTTCACAACCCTCGCGCGCGCGTCGCGCTCGCTCTTCATTCAACTAACATTCCGAGTGTAATGTCTACATTGTCTACCACCGCCTCCTAGATCGATTTTCCGCGAAATCCAAAACACCATAATAATAAATATATCTGTGCATAACGAGATAGGTTTGTTGTTTCTCCCACTTTCGTCGATTTTTTTCTTCACTCGCCGATTTTTATTGTTATTAGATCGTTCGCGAATATGCGCTATCGATAATGGTTCGGTTGCTTGGCATGTGAAGTGGAGAGCGAGTTTTTTTTTATTCGTCGTCATCGTCTCCTTCTTCTCTGCTTTACTTGTGCTTCATCCTAAAATAGCTGAAAATATTCATTCTTACCACTCACAAGCGAAACGAATCGACGAAATGGGAACTCGTTCGTCTAAATTGTCAGTAAAAGATACAGGGCTGTAAATACACGGTCTCTCTCTCTCTCTCTCTCTGCTACTGCATATACTCGCTTAAATGGGGACCATGATGATGTGGGGCGCACACGACGCTTGGTGAATGGAAGAGCAAAATCGTGCATAAAATAAAAGCTCTTGAAAAGTAAATGTTTTGTTATTGAAATTTTCTCCCATTGATTATTTATATTCAATAATTTGTTGCGATTTGTTCGTTCAATGCTTTTTCTTTCTTACTCGCGCGCGTAGTTTCGGAAATGCAGATGAGAAGAGGAAAAATTGTATCGTTATTGTTGCTACTGTTGTTGTTGTTGCTCTAGTGGTTCTTGTACTTTTCCTTTTTTCTAGCATTTTCTCTTATTCGTGAATTGCTGGGACCGACTTTTTTTTCTCTCTTCTTCGTCGCTGACGTTTCTCAACCAACATGAAATCTTTGTTCGGTATATGTGTGCCATTCCTCTTGGCAATTGTTATATATATAAATATCAACGCGATTTAGATCCTTCGCGTACACTTCACATATTCGCTTTTTGCTCGCTGTTTGAGCTGGCATTGAGCAATATTTATGTGTATCTGTCGATTTGGAAAGCATTTTCGGTAGAGATACAGTCGAAAGAAAAAAACAGCATTTCGCCCTGTTTGCAGCCGCAAAATACCGTGCAAATTGTGGATGCGAATCGCTCGAGAAAAAAAAACGAAGCGATTCGTCGAAGAGAGAGAGAGAGAAAGCACGAAAGCAAAAACGAAGTGCCAGTATTTTAGAGAGTGATGGAGAAAAAATTGATGAATATGTTAAATAAATAAACTGATGGTAAAAGCTTAACATTTGAAACGGAGCGCACATACATTGGGCACATCCACAGAAAAGAAATGTAAAAAAGTGTACAGTATTTATAGTGAGGTTTTTTTTGTACATTTCGGTCGATATTGAAAATATGCACACGCACACACGAGAGAAGAAGACGAGGGGAAACGATGTTATTATGATATGGATGTGATAAAGATAAGTGTATTTTTGATGCGTACGGAAATTTGTTTACGCGTATTCATATTTTTTGTTTATGCTTTTCGATTTCGTTTCACGTTTTTTTTTCCGTTGCTCGTCGGTGAGAGTGCTTCGAAGGGTGTTGTGAGGTACTTTAACGATTTTCAATTCTCCAGTCGGCGACAATACTCACATCTCTCGCTTTTTTCGTCCACTTATTTACGGAAATTTTTCTGTCTTTCTGTTCCATTTGAAATCCGATGGATGGGACAGCTGAGAGCTTTTTTGTGCCGTGACTGTGAATATGGCACTGATTCCGGCTTATTCGCAGAGCACATTTAAATGTAAGGAATTATTGCTTCGTGCGCTTTCTTTTTTTCAATATTTGCTCGGTCAGCAGATTTTGGTGAACTTTTACCATAAAAAATGTGTGTTGTGTCTAAAGTCAGCCGAAGAAATGAAATGTTTGTCTCGACACGATATGAACGAAGTTTCATGCGCAAGTAGTTAATACATTGTTTTAAGATTTGAATGGGAATTATGCTTGAGCAAATTGTCGATATTTATTACGTGTTTAGCTGTATAAATGAAATGAGTTCCTCATTTTGAATATGCACGACTTCGCCATTTTATGACATGAATAACAAGTGACGAACGAATTCTTTTACTTGCACTCTTTTTAAATTTTGGACAGATAAAGTGTAAACAATAGAGAGAGAAAATACGTGATTACATATGAACGACATGGTGAAGGGCACACGGCATATAACAACGAAACTTCCATATTAACCCTTAATTTTGAGCAAATTTTAACACTAGACTTTAGGCTCGCTCATAAACTTTGCACAAATATTCATGTGAACCTCAGGAATAATCACACAAATCATCAAATTTGAAGCTCTGAAACATGGTTCAAACATGGGCGTTCTTATCAGTCGAATAATAATGGGTTGAATGAACAAAACCAAATACGTCACTAGACGTGTATGTACTTGCGTTACACATTAGAATATAGAAGACTTCGCTATCTTGAGGAAACTATCAAATTCGTTGAGCAACTCACTTCATTAACTGTGGTGAAAGAGAAATTTTTGCGGTCGAAATGAAGTGTTTTTATAATCCAATTTTTATTGCATTTTGCACTGTCGTAAGTTGATATATAAGAAAATATTCTGTATAAGCAAAAGAGTTAATATATTATATTGTGGTGGCATTTGTGTCGACAGAATGGCATTTGTGTCGACACCGATACCGATCGGTATAATTAAATCACAAAAAGTGAGAAAATTATTGTTAATTTTCAGTCAAGTTTATAAAAGTATAATCATATAATCAATTTCGTTAGGTTTTGATGACAGGATGCACCTCCGATAAAGAATGCACACTTGCACACAGTGTTCAAAAAACTTGTAAATTTGTTTCATCACAATGCATTTTGTCTGTGGCTGCCAGTTTTGTGTAGTTGTAGAATTAATCTTAACGACAGCTGTGTGGTTTGATTGGAGTGATGATTTAAGTCGAATAAAGAAACGAGAAACAATGAAAATAAACTTTCTTCAAGAAGATGTGATTATTTTTCTTACGCCTTTTTTATTAGCACTACATGAAATGTAGAGCTACTAATCTGCTTATTTTTTTAAATACTTCTTGAGTGATGAACAAATTATGGTGAATTTGAATTGTATGCTCATATTTTTTATTTAATTTAAAACAGTGGCAGTTACGACAGATAAGTGCATAATATCTCAAAGCGCCAATCAAATTTTTATTATCAAATGTTGTTTAAAAATTACATTATTTTTCGTATAATATTTTCTGAGTCTTGAACAGAATTAAAGTGATTTTAGATGCTATCCCAAGCTAAAGAGAACGATTTGGCTCTATCGTGACGATATATTTCATCGTGGAATAGCGGCCAGCGCATGTACACAACACTTCTCCTTTCTCACTGCTGCTATGTTAAACATAGTAAATGGTTCACGCACACCGATACATGACTGTATGCGTGCACCCTGGAGCTACAGTCATGTATCGGTGTGCGTGAACAGCATACTATGTTTAACATAGCAGCAGTGAGAAAGGAGAAGTGTTGCGTACATGCGCTAGCCGCTATTCCACGATGAAATGTATCGTCACGATAGAGCCAAATCGTACTCTTTCGCTTGGGATGCTCATATTATTAATTTAATTTAAACCAAAGGCAGTATATTTCAAAAAAGAAATTAAACCAAGATCTTGTAATTCATTTTGCAAATAAATATATTACTTCAAAGTTACTTTGATGAAATACATTTCATGTAGTGCGCCAAAAAATAGTTTGTTGTGAAACAACAAAATAGATTAAGTAATTTAAAACTCAAGAACGCAGAGCAGAGCGAAGCTCTGCGGTCTTGTTTGAACTCTGTGATTATTCCAAAGAAATTGAATTTGATGCCAGTGTACTGTGGTAATTCAACGTGCAAAAGGTTTGAGTATATTTTTGATAAGTTGTTTGCTCAGTTGGTATAAATGAAATTGATTTCTCGTTTTGAATCAGCCATTTTTATGAAATTTTAATAAATGAATTCGTTTTTGTGCATATTTTTCAATATTTACATTGATGAAATATACAAAAATACCTATACAAAAAGAGAGTAAAAATAAGAGATTTCATACCAGCGACTTTGTGAAGTACATGGCATAGTCAGATTCACACGTTAACCCTTGGACTTGAGCAAATTTCAACTGTGGAGTTCCCATGAACTTTGTACAAATGACCATGTTATTTTCAAAATAATAATTTGGAGTAAATTTTGGTTGAAAACGGTAAAAAAGAACCAAACATGGAGTATCCAAACAAAGTTGACAGAGACATTGCTATCAGTCGAATGTAAATGGGTTAAATGATTAAGCCAAGTGCGTCATTACATTTGTGCAATACGCTTTAAAATATAAAACTCTTTGCAGCGTTGATGAAATCGTCAATTTCTTTCAGCAATCCGCGTGTTCAACATCAATCAGTAGAAGTGGAATTTTTGCAGTCGACATGATGAACTTGTATATTACAATTTTTGTCAATGCGACTCTAATCGCCGTAAGTTAAAAAATCGATTTGAACTTCAAATTTTGAAGTCATTTTAAAAAGCTTAAAATAATTGATTGAAAATATATTGAGACAACAACGTGAAAACAAATTTCGTATAAATTATTATCGCAAAAGCGCACCTTGATTATTATGAAATGAGAAAAAATTCGGATCGATATCTGCAAAATCTCGCGGTTTTGCTTACTTTATTTACTTTGCTTACGTTTGCTGTGACGCTCACTGATCGAACTATAAAGCGATAATTACTAAATTCTTTTTTCGTTCAATTAACTATTTTAGGTTTGGATGACAGGATATGCAAATGCTACTAAATGTGAAGTTGTGGATTGTTTCCCTGACAAAATATGTGTAGAATTGGGAAATGGCGAATTTATTTGCGTGCGAACATGCCAATCACATACAGAATGTGGCAAATGTGGATTTTGCTTGAAGAACAAAAATGGATCGTCTAAAAGTTGCTACTATCGATGTTGGAATAAACGGTGTATTGAAGGCACCAAATGTAAAATAACTGGTAGACCTAGACGTGGACATTGCATTTTGCCATAGTCATTATCATTTTGTGAATTAGATAAGGAGTCAAATCACCAATCAACAATAATATAGAATTTAAAAATAGTACTTGAAAACGTTATTCAAAAATTAAACACAATAATTTCATTTTTTCCAAATTTTCAGCATAGTATCAACACTGTATTAATGACTTAAGACAATTCAAATTCGTGATTATTCAAAAATATTAATTTAAAAATAAACATTTCTAAGGGAAAACTTATTGTTCAAACTTATTTTCTATGAATTTCTTTTTTGATTGCAAACAAAACTGTCAGTAGCATCAGCTACGTTGTGAATATAATTTGTATTTACACACACTGCAGCACACAGATAGCGCGTCAAGAGCGAAACGAATTAAGTTCTATATCTTAGGGACAAAGGCTCATTCTTTGCACACAGTGTTCAAAATAACCTGTAAATTGGTTTCGTCTTGTGTAGGTGTACTCAGCGACGCACGTAACCAGTTGATCGGTTGGTACACAGAACATTTCACCATTTGCTACTTCAGTCATACATTCGTTCATGCAAATCAAAGCAAACTGTGACTCGTGTGTACGGTTTACCAGTTACAACGTGTGTGCGAAGCGGTCGAATTCTTGCGAGGTGAATTGTCGTCTTAGTTCGCGCCTTATGTACACACGTTCCAACTGGTAAGCCGTACTCACACTATACTCGCATCAACGAATATATGACCGAAGTAGCAACTGGTGAAATGTGCTGTGTACCAGCCAAAATTCTGGTTACACGCATCGCTGAGTAGTCTTGTGTAATTAATCTTAACGACAGATATGTGATTCGATTGGAATGCTGATCCAAGTAGAATAAAAAATCGAGAAACAATAAACTTTCTTCAAGAAGATGTGATTATTTTTCCTTACAACATCCCCCTTTGTTTGCCTTTTTTCGAATCCTGTAATTATTCCGGAGAAATTGAATTTGATCTCAGTGTACTGTTGTTATTTCACGTAGGGAAGGGCTTGAGTATATTTCCGATATATTTTATTTGTTCAGCCTGTAATTTTGATAACTGTGTTGCAAACCGAATGAAAACGGAGTATGCAACCGATGATTTAATTTGTTCATAAGTGATGAGTCAGGTACCTTCGGCTCCAGTGTAGCCTAAAAGTAAAACCGTAAATAAATTTCAATGGTGTTTGCTAAGGGGATTTATCTCTCGCGAATGCTGCGAATGCATTCGCATTTCAGAACAAAAATTCGAATGTTCGCGAATGCGACGAATGCGGCTATGACAGCGAACTTGTGACTACATAATTCATTCGTTCATTCGTGTTTGGGCATGCATTCGCAACGTTGCCGTATGATTTCTATGTAAACATTCGCACTCGCATTCGTGAGAACGTTCGAGAACAGCGAAATACGACTGCTATACGAATGCGAGTGCGAATGTTTACATAGAAATCATATGGCAGCCTTGCGAATGCATGGCACTGAGCGCGAATTTGTGAATAAAAATTCGAGTGCCAAACCGACATAGAAGCCCCTAGGGTGTTTGTGAATTTCCATTTATTCAAGCCACCCGTTCTGTTGGGTATAATATACATTAATTGAACCTTCCATTCGACAATATTTTAATTTCTCATCAGTTGGTCGGAAGCTTTTTGGTGTGAATCTTTCGCATATTTTTCCGCTCTGTAAAATGTTCTGTTTCATTTGAAATTCGGTAGATGTACAACGTGAGAGCATTTTTATATCGTAGGTTAAAGTGGCTGCTCATTTATACACAGCACACATTTGAAAGTAATGAATTATTGCATCGTGGGCTGTCTCATCATTTTGATTCGATCGGTCAGCAGTTTTCCGTAAATTTTCCCCATCAGAGAAATGTGTGTCGAATTCGGAGGCACAGTAGATGAAGTTGAAAAAAAAATGTTTGCCCTAACACGATATGAAAGACATTGATACATTGCTTTGAGAAGGACAGATGTGCATAAAGGTCACATTGTTTAACGGTTAGAAGAATTTTCGGAAACTCATAAAAATTGTTTGCGTGGTTTTTTTCCCTCTTTTGGATGATTCATTTTCTGGTGTGCATATTTAAAGACGACGTATACTCTCCCTCCTCCCTCTTTCTTTCTCTCTCTCTCTCTCTCTCTCTATTCAGCATCGAAGAATCATCTTGAGTTGGCAAGAATTTGGTTTGAAATCCACTTCATTGAATCTTTATGACACACAAGAACAAAAAAGCAGCTTAAGTTCTTGAAGCCACAAAAAAGGGAAAAACGGTTCAAATGTTTATTGCTTTTAATATGCTCTCGAAAATAATAATCGGGTAATTCGGGATGGCATGCCAGTGACCAGAGTAAACGATGTTCCAATGTTCTTTTCACATGCACACACTCACTACAACGACACAATATAACCGATCCCTCTAATAGAGTAGAGCAAAACCCATACAATTTCGAAAGAATGTTTGTCATTTATCGGTTTCGTTTATTATCTTCTCTTTTACGGGAAAAATAGAATATTTGAGATGTCGTTTGTGCCGAGCGCCACACACACACACAGCAACATTTCCAACCGAATTTCGAAAAGTAGA